AAATGGTGGTAACGTTTTCGTCGTCATTTAGAGAAAGGAGGGGTACAGTCAGCATGCCATCAGTGCTTGCACTGATACTTAGCAGTAAGAGATGTGATACAAACCAAGATGGGGTCAGGTAATTTCATTCCTCGAAGTAACGATACCTGGCGTCCTTCGGAATAAACAGGCAAGAACAAAACATAGGTTGAGGTATTCGTGAATTAGAAACATGCTTTGATCTTGTTATTGCCTTTCTAAGAAGAAATTATTAAAAACGACGGCTAATGTTCACCGAACTAGTTCTGTGCTCGTTAGTCATCAGTCGAATGGGATTAATAAAAGAAAGACAATTTTTACGGTAGAGTTGGAAAAAGCTGATCTTCTTGTAGGCTGCCTGTGATTGACTGACGCGAAGCAGCGTGGCTGACAGGACTATTTCTATTGCGATCTGTTTCTAAGGCGAAAGTAAGCAATTTCGCATGTCATCCCTCCTCGAATCTTCGACTGTCTTCAAGCACTTCATTTAGAACGAAGCCAGCAGAAGAACTGCACCACCCTAGCCGTATTCACTTTGTTGACTGTATCCGGTTATCATTCAAGTTTAGCAATGATAAACCGGACCACATTCGTCAGCCATGGTCTCGGCTAATTAACCAGATAGTTCTCGCGTTAAGCATTCCATGAAGCAGCATTTCCCGCAGAACCATTCTGAATCCGATCGTTACGGAATTAGCTGCTCATGCCGTTGATTTCCAACAGTAAGAGATTCTTGCCGCCACCGTATTGAAGCTGTTACGAGATTGCCAGTGAAATAAAACCACAGTGATGTTGAGATATTTGCACAACTTGGATCCCAGTCCAGATTTGAACTTCCGATTATCCTTCCCCCGGGCTCACCTGTTACCCAAGGCGCCACAGAGGTCCTTTCTTTGCCTTTCCCTCAACCAAATTTTTTACCCTAACGGTACCATCAGCGTCAACGGGAGTGGCCTGGAGAGCACAAATCGAAATTGCTAGTGTTTCTCTCTATTTTCACCACTCAATATCATTCGTTTCTTCCGATATACATATACTCTTCCTGATAAAGTGTGGATGGAGTTGAAATGAAATGGGTGAATCAATCGCTCGGCTCGAGTAACGTAGAGAAATGGAAACTGGCACCGAATATGCTAGCTGTCACCAATTCTTTCATTAAACACGGTGGAAAACAAGTGTGTGAAAACGGTTTATCACTAAAGTCGTTCTTTTGAGCAATCTATAATCCAGCGCGAGAGTTCTTTTTTTCCTGTGCTCCGAAATCTGACCGCCACCAAAACGTGCATTAAGCCTCGCCTAAGTCGTAAGTACTTTTAAAGAGCCACTTGAGGTCAACGGTAAGTCAACAATGCGCCTCAAATCGACGTCTGCTAGTACTCGAAATTCCACGGGGAAATTGATTTCACAAATACATTATGGGAAAGGAGTTTTCGCAGCACAGCTGCTGCACTCCGAAATGTTCACCATGCATTGCCGAGTTTGTTTCCTCCACGAACGCCATGCCGAAACAGCCAGTTCGACGTCTTGAGAAAAACTCGTTAGAAGTCGAAGCAGGCGAGTTAATAACTGGTCAGACTTTCTCACAATTACACTACCGCTAGTCAAGAAAAGTTCGGTGCGATGGGAACTGCATAGAAGGAGATAACCGCAATCGGCGCGCCTGCAGTCGGTGGTGAGTGACGCTGATGGAAGGGAGTTCATCAAGTAAGAACGAGTTCAGACGTGAATTTTTACTGACTTTTGCTTTCAGACCACTTACTGAAATATACACTATAATTTTGCTAATGAGTGTAGAAGGGCAAAGTTGTTCTTTTCTAGAACCTCGCTAACTGTTGCAATGCCACTGTGAAATTTCTGTGACGTATGCTCTCCGCCAAGTAAAAGCGATAACTCGAAAAGTTTTGTGTATTGAATACGTCTCAACATTAGATTCTATAAAAGAAGAGCCGACAACTTGAGAAGAAAAAGAAGCTAAAAACCATAGTTAAATAAGGGAAATACAGTCTTATAGTTGTCAAGCATCACTTCTGTAAGCGAATCATCGAGGAACTCGAGGGAGAACCAATAGTCTTCAATTTCCCACATCGCGCTTCAGGAGTGCGATATGGGAAACAGTACCACAGTTTTCGTATAAGGCCTTTTATTCTTTCATTTCTTGGTGTTTTTACCCATACGTTGCTTATCGAGCTCTTCCGGAATGGGAATAGGGTTTACGTCTTGGAGGCCACCCAGGCGCCTCCCGTGCACTTTCCAGTCACGTACTGCCGAGTTCGACTGTGCAGGGTGAAATCCCCATGAGCATCAGCACGCATACACATAAATGTATGAGTATGGTTTTTGTATAAGGATGGTATATTGTGAGAGCACTGCAGCGGAGAATGGCAGTTCATCATTTAAATCCACTTCCTTTTCATTCAGATACATGGATGCTTTTAACCTACGCTCTATCCCACCCTTTGAGCACACTATTTTACTTCGTCGTCTTGGGATCGGGAGATTAACTAATTATGACCGTATAACCATTGAAAGCAAAATTCACAGAAATAGTGTCTGATATGAAATTCAAGGAAATAGCCCTTAGCGTTTATAACATTGGGAATGGAAAGGTGATATAAATAGCACAACCTGAGTCCTGTTTATAGCCACTGAGACGAGCCCATCGGGATATTCAGAGCGTTCGTTCATTTCACATCGGTCGTCGCTGCATCCTACCAGAAGGCAGTTAGGTTCACCAATATGGGGAGCAATCACCCCTGTGAATGTCACTCCACGACAGTCTGCAATGATATTTAATACTGTTTTCCTGGTGGGAACTGGAATGTTGAAGAAACTAAGGGGCTGAAGAAACGACACCATTCGTCAACGAATCTCGTTAGGGATCGTCCAATGTCCTAGAAATCTAAGGCAAGAAGTGGCTTGGTGACTAATAAAGATTATAAGATTATGACAAAACTATAACGGCAGTGATAACGATGGTTATTTCACATTGAGAATGCATAGAGTTACAAAAGGGGAAACAAAAAGAAGAAGAAAAAGTATGGTTCTTTCATTCACTCAAATGTTAAACAATAATATAAATGGTTAAGATATCGAAATAACAAGCAATTTCTCCTTCATTTTAAAATCGACATAGACCAAATTTCCGGACAGACAGTGTCTCACTGAGGAGATGGTCGATAGGAGAACCAACTCGGGATACGAGTCAAGAAGCAATGAACTCGACGCGAAGAAGAGGAAAGCTGAACGGAAGACCATAGTGGAGACGGCCTTGAATGAGCGAACTCCTTTACTCTTATAGTATACGACGGGATCCACCAAGGTCAGTAACAGTGCTGGAACGAAATGATCGACCCTCGACACCGTGGCCTCGTGCTTAAAGGCACCGTCCAATGCGACATTGAATATCCAGTGCCCAAGTACCTTGTTCAAATCCATTCTTGATGTATTGTACATAATCAACGGTGACAGCGGTGTAGTTCCACCAATGAATACACTGAGAATTCTGTTACTCGAAAAAAACGACATTTGTCACGTACATTCACACCAGTCCCCTCTATAAAGTGGTTATGTTTGAACTCGTGTAAGAGTAGGGCATAGCGACCATTAATGTCAGTCTCTTCTCGGTAATACCACCCAGTACTGTCGTGTGTTAAACATCCATATTCAATCTATCGAAGGCAAATGACCTCTTTGATAAAGTTTATGTGGTGATACAACTGTAACCTGTGACTTGCATCCGGTTTGAGAACGGTGAACGGATAAGAGGATCACATTCAAATTCATCCTTTTCGCCCTCAGCGGGTAGCCCGCTCAAATCAGGCGAACAGAGAATGTCGCCTATTTCAGAGAAGGCGAAAGTACTAGAAACGGACATCGTGACAAGTGAAAAACACTACAATCGAGTTCGTGCGACCGTTGCCTTCATTTTCGTGACTACGGCCAATTACTTAAAGTTTACGTCACTACATAGCATTTGTTCGGAGCGGAGTCAAAGATTGGAGATGAGCTAAAAGCTCGGCACATTTACATTGAGTTCACCCATCTCTATGAAGACAAAAGACAAGAGCTCCGAAATGCAATCCAACCCGGTGTCGATACACAAGCATACTCTTGAACAATCCAAAGATCGTCGCATGTAACCAACTGTACACATCTTGAATTACGTAACTGAAACATGTATAGTCAGGAAGATCGCAGCGGTTTTCAGCTCCTTTTTCTAACACTGGTTTTTAAGGAACACTCGTGTCACAGACAATGCTGAGTGGAAGTCGGAAAGAAAAGGACTGAAAGGAGGAGAGACCTTAAAAATTACAAAAAATACTATTACGTGAATTAAACTGAACTGAGTACTCATTCCTCATAAAGCATATGAAAAGAAGCCAGATGAATGGCTCAATGAGCGAGCCGATATCAGGATCCGATGTTCGTGAGGTTCGGTCTGTGGAAGTTCCATGGTGTTGTTGTGATCGCTTTGTGGTGGCTGCGTTTCCTTGGCGACGTCATTCAAGCATAGTTCCATGCCAGTAGCCATTTCGTATAAGAGAACACCAAAGTTGCGAATGATAAAGTAATAAGGTAGATGTAAGTGAAATGAATAGAACCAAGAGGGATTTAGGAGCTAAGGAATAATCGAACAAACGACGGGAGACTTATCTAACCCTGATGAAGATCTGGTTGAAAAAAATGCACCAAAAAGACGACAGAAGTAAAAAAATTGTAAATAAACATTGGTACAAGAATTGGGTTGAAGAATTGCTACAAACAACTAAGTAACTGAATGTCCAAGTAACATATTGCGGTAACAAAAATAGAGCTTTGAAAGATGTTTATAGCACCGGAAACGTCTTTAATTTAGAAAACACCATGGAAAAACGATCTAAGTATCATGGTCGCCGTAAGAAGGGATTGAATCTGTTAATTTCTTCAAGAACTCCTGGTAAGATGGAAAATTTTTGTCCCAGAAATAGGAAGGAAAAATCTCTTCAGGAAAAAAAACTGCTGAAAGACTCACTGAGAACAGAGCAGCAGAGCTCGAGACAGTGTTTAAGATCAGTGGTCTCCTGTGAGGAGAGCGCGACGGATTTGAAACCGAATCGCTGCTGCTCGAAAATGTCGAGAGGGCCGCAAAAGACGTCGAAGGCGAGCACGGAGCGCAGGAGCAGCGTGGAGAGGAGCGAGTACGGACGGAACTGCTCGGCCACGGAACCCATCACGATCGCATGGGTCCGCACAGCTGGCAATGCGGCCGGCGACGGGGCCGACGGGGCGGCTGCCGGCGGGCCGACCCGCCCACCCGCCTATCCGACGGGCGGCTCCCGGTCGGTGCCGAGCACACCGGCCGGAATGCACCTGCACTACTGTGCGTTGGGAATCTGAGCTAGCTAAAAATCTAGAAGGTATACATTTGCTACAGTAATGATTAAAGCGATGTAATCCACTCGACTTAAGAGATATTTCCAATATTTCTGTCTAGGCTTAAGGTTTCCCAAATTCCAAGTAAATTATTCCTCTGGCAAGAAAGGTGGAGAGGAAAATTTTTACCGTCTAGAGCAAAATCAACGTTAAAATGGCCTATCGGTAGACGAGCAAACGATTATATTTATGCAGGTGATGGTGGAACAAAGAAAAGTGGACCGAAAAAATTTTTCAGGGTTAACGAACAACACGAACTACGAAAACTTAAAAATAACCCGTTGCCACATGTCTCACCGTGGTCGAATATTTAAAGCCGTGAAGTATTGAACATTTCCGATTTTTGTAATAAAGTAACTCATAATCCAAACCACTCACTAATCTGTGAGTGTAAGAAAAGACGTTAATCGGTGAACAATGAGAATTTCAGAGTACGTTAGAAGATAGAATGTTTTGATGGAAAATATAAAGCTGAAAGAGGTGTGAGACGAAAAGTGAGTAGAACACTGGCGGAATTGGAAGCACGCTGTTGCCGGGAATTGATGGCAGGACTTGGCAGATCACAGGTGCAGCAGGCGAAGGCTTCTGATACTTCGACGTCGACACTTTGAAGTACTTGGAGCGACGACCAAATCGTGAGTCTACAAAACAGGAAATCTCACACATAGAACGAGAATAAAGGCAAGGGTCAGTTGATTGGGGTGAGCAGAATATTCACATGTCAATCAACACAAATTCATAAGGCAGGTGTTAAAACAGAGTGCGGTCGCCGCTCTTTAGTGACCTATAGGGATGTGCCTAGAAAAGATATACGCTACCCTTTGAGCGTTCTGTGATCTGAAGAAAGAACCTAAGAAAGGAAAATGACGATGGTATCATCTTTATTCTTTTTTGCTCGTAGCTAATGTGGAATTTCCAGCGCCGGTATTGTGGTATAGTGCGTATTCCAAAAAGTATTCTATTTCATGTCAAGTCATCGAATAGAGGAGGGTGAAGGCAGACGCATATGCAAGGTCTCACAAGTCGAGAAAACGGCGGTTCCTGGTGCCGTTCCGGACCAGGGTTCACAGCCCTTCCAACTTGTTTGGCTAACGACTTACTCATGAACGAGTTCATTTCAGTGTTACAACAGAAGCAGCTTGAAATAATATTTTAATGTCAACAGATAACTAAATTTCTAGTTGACTTACGACCAACAGTTTAAATAAAGAATAACTAAGCTAAGTGCTTTTATCTAAGAGCCAACGACGTCTGGATTGGTAAAAAAAGGCTCTTCGAGCAAATGTGAAGCGTTCACATACACCGGATCACCGTTGATTTCAAAGAAGCAAAGAAGAGTGGTCTCGTTTGCGACTTAAACACACCAAATGGTAGTTTTCTTCGACAATAAATACTGAGAAGACTTAAAAAGGATAAGAAAGATGAAATTCTCGACGTTGAACAATCCTTGGGGATGCCCATAGATTCGACTTCCTTGGAGGTGGGTTGAGTGCAGATCTGGTGGCTTACCGATGTATTGAGCCAGTGTTGTTACCCTCCCAGACAAGCCTGCAACCAATTTCCCGACCTCGGAGGAATGGAAGACTTGGTGGACCTCAAGCGCTGCGATCGATTCCTTATATATTGCAGGACGCCGTCGACCACTGCGCTACACACGTTCCCTATTTCTTGAGAATCTGATCGATCCCATGAGAAGACTTATGGCGTTGAATACAACAGAAAATCACCCAGGAGGTTCTGCTTTATCCATTTGCAGATCGAAAGTTGCTACTATTTTCTACGTTTTACCGTGTTTCATTTGCCAAACACATTGCTGTAAGAATTTAAGAGGATTCTGCTATTTATGTTGGATGTTTTACAATATTTCCTATACCCATCCATCCTACGCTATAGCCACGACCCATCGGTACAATCGTAAATGAAAAACAGTGAATTCTTGCTCAAAAAAAAGAACTTTGTGTGTTCTACATAAGGAGCGTTGCCACATTTTCTAATAATTCTCGATAACCATCGGTAACTAAAGGGTTTGTGAAGTTGACAACTTGCTGCGTACACACTCACTCCGACAGCAATAGTCTCCCTCCTGAGAGCGATGGCGCTCAAAGGGATTCTTTTGTCAAATTATTAAGTACAGAGAACAGCTTTTCACCAGCCACTCCTGACAGGGGATTGCCGTTCGACACTCTACACGGAGTACTAAGACTGTGGTGAAAAACATCTGTACACCACAGTAGAAGCCAGACGCGGCATAGTTTCACACGGTCGTGTGTGTTGAAGAAATTTTTCCCCTTGCTGAAGTGGTTCTCTCAACGCTTAACAAAGGTAGCTCTGATGAGACATGAAAACGAATGAGCAAAAGGAATCAATAACGCAACCGATCGCTGCTATTTGCACAACGACCACTTTTTATTTAGTTTATGGTTTGCAACAAACGACAACATTTTAGTGGTTTTCTTACTAGTGACAGGAAAACTACGAACTTAGCGGTGACATGCCGACACTGAGACAGCGATTGAAGCGACACGACTTGCACGCAGTCCGATTTGAGCCCTAAAATGGAGCGTTCACCTCAACAGACAAAAGTTCTCGTGAATTCGTTCAGTTAACTCTAAAGAACTAACGACGACGTCACATTGGCCAACGTTCTTGCACTCAAAGCGCTCGTGATTCTTGCGGAGGCATGTGCGTCCGAAGAACGACTGCAAAATTTTGGTTGAAATGACTAGCTCGTTGCGTTTCCCGTAGGACATGGAAAATCCTAGGTAAAATGTTCTTCAAGAATTCTTTATGTTATTTCGTAAAACCGTTAAAGAATTTGAGAAAAGCTGTATAAGTGCTTCCACTCTTGCATTGCAAGAGTCGCTTGATCAGAAATGAGAACACTTATCGGCGCGAAATCGCCTAAGAAGGTTCCATGCTCGACCAGTTCGAGTGGAAAAAGTTTAGTGGCATCATGGGATCCGCGATTGGAATGTGTTCTTCATTAGCACTAATTGCTACTGTTCTAACGATTTATAGTTGGATTTTCTATGATTTAATGAAATCTGTGAAGTACTAGTTCTATGCCCGTCCCAATACATCTGACCTACGAGCATCTGGCTCATGTAGGCTTCATGATAAGGTCGGCACGCACTCTTGCAAAGCGAACCACTTAGGCTTCTAGTTTATGGTAGCACAGCTACAGAATATATCAAGTGATTAAGAAACTATTAAGGGATATTTATCATTTTACCGTCTTGATTCTCTATTAATTTTGCATTCTTTCAATTAACATCTCACGACAAACACTTTCCAGGAAAGAGTTATTTTTATGCCATGTCGTCTTGTGACAAGATTTCGACAATGCCACGTTTCTTAAAATAAATATAGCCGACCTTGCAACCCTCGCAGGTGAACGCACCGAAGTGGAAGCCACGCGCCGGCTCGCCGCATACCGCACACGCGAACGTCTCCTGCGGCGTCGTCCCGTCCCCGATTCTCTGAACGAAATCCCAAAGTGATCGACGCTGATCTCCTCGTGATGGAGGGATGCGCCGTGCATTCGACACCGGTGACACCGAAGAGGTGATACCGATGTATTAAGCGATCCTGTTTATTCTAGAGTTTTTCTCTTGCAAACAATTCTACTACCAATTTGTTTATTCCAGAGGGATGGCAGCCTTAGCATGGGTACGGGATCGAGCTGCCGAATAAGTGAATATTGGAAGACCCAACTAAGTGCTGTTCTATGTGTACCCGGGCTCTGAAGAAATCGCCATTAGAACAACGCCGTGAAAGAATTTTTCATAGTCGAACATTTACATAGTTTAGCCGTGGATGGGGTGCATTTGTAGTACCAAAGATATTCATAAGCCGAGGCAAAACCTAGGTATAAGGTAGTGACGAGTTATAACAAAAGCGTTTAGATCAGCATATCTTGTTTAGCTTACCCTTCATTATTTTAGTGTTGCCCGATTTTTTCGCCATTTGCACTATAGATAAACGAAAATCAGAAGACGCTGCACTCAATTCAGACAAAAAGAAGCTTGTGTAAAATTTTAACGAACAATAATAGTTTCTGAAGAGAAAGCTGCATCAATCACCTAGTAAGGTCACTGGAACATAGTCATTCTCGAGAGTGGACAGGAAGCACGGAAAGAGCACCGAAAGAACAATTTCTGCTCTGGTAATGCTCAAGCAAACGCATTCATGATGCTTTCACAGCGTTGAGATCTATTTCTTTTTCAAACCCGAGAACACAAAAACGCTATCGGAGACCGTATGCACTTATTGCGTAGGTGTCATTCATGGAATTGTAGGCAAGGAAATAAAATCGAGAAAGTCGCGCCGTTAGGCCTCCGTTTTCTCCTGAACCAGCAGGTTGCTGGGAACGGGAACACTCACCATTGGAAAAAGGTTTGAGGTAGATTAGATGGGCTCGACGTACTAACTCCAAAGTCCACTACAAAAAAAAACTACAAGAGCGCAAAATTTCCGTCACGTATGCATCACCGAACTCTACGGAGCTGAGCAATGTTTGAATTTCCCTTTAAAAAAGAATAATAACGTTAATAACAATAAGAACGTTTTTCTGTGAGAAAGGACTTCCTAGAGACACCTCATAGAACCACGATCCTATTTCGGACTAGTCGAAGTAATGGGCGCTGGACGACTGCTTCCGGCTTTATCGACTTTGTTTGCTCTCGTCTTGTCCTCAGAAACCTCTGGCATATGTAACCGTCAATCGCAACCTTTTGTTTGCATT